GAAGTTGCCTGCTGACAGTTTGAACGGTTCTAACACTTTTGGCGGATATCATGTTTGGTGTTAAGAGAATTATCTTAAAATTAGGACATGGAATACGACATGGGCTTCGATCTGGACCTGGATTAGAAAGCGCAATGGCCTCGCGGTGATCGATGTGGACTCCATTCCACAAAGCTTGTTTTGTGCTGGTTCGGTCTAACACGAAAGAAGGATATGGTCATACATGTATTTTGAATAGGATATCCACTTCTTACTGGATGCACTAGGTCAATGTCTGAACTTCTGGTACCTAGAGTACACGTAATTGGATTCAAGATCTCTCCCAACGTGTGGAATGCCAACATGTGTATAAGAGTGTTTTGTACTCGGTAATGTAATACCGGGATCCAGTGGATCCCGGTAACGGTCGAGTAGCGTACCCCACCCTGTACTGTAATATATGTAACTAATACACGGCTACACCCACAGTTCCCACATGTCCCAAGCTCCCAAGGCCCAAGCTCCATCTAATTCAAAGCTTACAATTGGCGGCTTTTGCGGCTTTCGAGGCTATCCAAATTTTGGAAGTAGTAGTCCCAGGTCTAATTTGACAGAGCGCTAGACTAATACAGTCCTGACATTGGCATCGGGCTTTTGTCCGCTAGTTGCAGGTCGGTACCATTTATTTCCCCTGTCGTGTGACTCGATACGAGCTTCGATCGTCAGAGTCTGTACATTATTAACAGTATTAGTATTGTTACTTTCTCGAGGTACGTACCCGTTTGGGAGGCTGTGCCTGTACCTGTAACAGGACTAACGTTACCAGAGCCGAAGTGAAAGATGGAGACATCGGGCTCCATAATAAAACGCGGCAGGCAATAACATGGCTGTTCGCGTTCTCCACCCCGCGCCAACACCAGCGGCAAGCTATACAGCCCGGCGCCTAGAGATTAGTGCTCAGGGAATAACAAATCACAGCGAGCCTTATCTCCGATATACGACCGCGTAGAGACAATGTCGTCATATTCTCGGCCAAGCTCCCTAGTCCATCCCCATCTTAAGAGGTTGTGGTTCTTAATACTATATACATTGTAGTGTAGAGTACTGTCTCAGGACTACAGTATCTACACCGTCAACGATAATATACTATAGTTTACTATCAACTAACTTCAACTAACCCAACTTGCAAGGTCCCATCGCGATCGCAATTGCAATCGCAATAGCAACGGGAATTACGATTTGCACATATACTCCAAACACAACAGGGGATATCCCTGACAGTTCACAAACCAATGTGCATAGACCAGCAGGAGATCATTTCCCAACCATTCAGACGGCAAGAGGGTCGGCGGGTCCCGGTGGTCTCTCCCCCTTGGATCGCCGTTGACCTTATCCCCACAGAGAAGCTCGCTTGGAGAGAGGACTGAATGTCGGAGCTTGCATGGCAAGCGAACTACCTAAAAAAGAAATGCGTACGGAGTAGTTCGGTGCAGTAGACGCATGTGAACCGTAAGCGATTATCGATCTACCTCAATATTGCACCGGTATTGAGAAACCCGGATCGATTGGATAATAATTGTACTTGTTTATTATGCCTTATGTTGAGAGATCCCGGCATGACATGTCCATGGTGTGTGCTCTTCTTATTGGTACGAATGTTTCCAAGAGTACGTAAGTGAAGGTGACTACCGTGAGTAGACGGGGCTTGGCTTGGGGGCCAGAAAATTGTTGCTCTTTTTACCTCGGTTGACGGTCGGGATTCGTGATTTATCGTTCGACACTTGCAATTGTTTTGTGAATACCTTGTTACTTGTCCATATTTGTGTCTATATTCTTAGATCTCTCCAGTCATGGGTCTGGTTTGGGTTATTTCCATCTCGACGGTACAGTGCCCAGACTAGGAATTATCCAAACGGATTGTCTGGCAACTGTATCCCTGTCATTAAACATATACTGTTACTTTAATCTACTCGGTCCCGTTTCATGATGTTTGCTATTTGTCGGAACTATATTGTGGGTGTCGGCGACTCAGTAAAACGGGGACGGTCCCCGTCGCAGACGCCACTTTATGATTTCATGGAGCGATTGGGTGGGCATTTTCCTAGGATATTTCGCCAAGTAGCATAGCTGAGATCCATCAGATCGGAAAGTCCAACCAGAACCAGGAATATAGTTCGAATGCTTATGGAGTAGAACCCAGGACCCAGATGTCAGAAAGTCAAGTCAAGAACGGAGTATAGAACTGATCCGAGCATTGATCTACCGTTTCAGGATATGATATGCTATGGCCAAGTGACTTGCATGCGGGGAGCCCCATTTCTGTAGGGCGTGGACCAAGAAGAGTCAAAGGCGTTTGTGTCCACTTACGTAGTTGCGCAGGTACTCCAGGGCTGTGATCCTGGCACCATTCTTTAGTGTGTTAGTGCGTGTATTAGTGCCTGAGAAACACGCCGACTACCCGGTTCTTCCGAAGTTAGTCCCCGACGCTGTCTATCCTTGTGTTGTGAGCGATTTGTTTTTCATTCCGTTATTGCATGTTCCATCTACACTTACCGGGCTAGGAATAATCCCCGTCAGGAACATCACCCCGGTACGCACTACAGATCAAAAACTTATGTCTCGGCAGGCCCAGCCGCAAGTCCGGTGAGTCCGCGTTGATTCGCGGTTCCAACAATCCCGTATGCAAAAGGAAACATCGCGAAAGTTAAAACACATTAGAAATCAAAAATAAAGACGTCAATAAAAACGAAGATCATTCGCCAAATCTGCTCCCACGGAAATGGTGTCCGATTCGCCTTGGGCAGTGTTTCATGCCTACAGTAGTGAACACCGAATAAAACCGGTTCTGAGGTGCAGCTTTAGTCGATGGAGCTCGACAGAGTCAAGCCGTGATGGGTCTGCAATTCCAAAAACCACCCGTTGTGTTTCTGTATTTCCAGTTTCCAATTTCTAACTTACTTTCTAATTTGTGACATAATACACATATGACAGGCAGAACAAATTAATCTAATCTATTCTTGCGCGCTCTTTTTACTGGGTATCACTATCTCGATATTACAATAATGGCCAATCCTCAACCCGAGCCCGTATACAAATCAGACTAAACCTACGCACCGTCAATGGCGCAGGACTGTCTCACAAAGTTCCGGCTTATCTCGTTCCTTGATATTATTTTCCTCTGGTGTTTGCCACAAGCTACTGTACGGAGAGTACTGTACTGTCTTCGCCCCAAGTACGGAGTACAAAGGGGAAAGTCGCACGCGCGATCATGATTAGTGCGATTCGCGACTAGTGGCGATATGTTTGACCTAAGTGGAACATTCCTACTACGGTGGATCGGTGATCAACGGGTTACATTTTACTCATCTGCAGTCATGCAGACTACAATATAGAGGAACCCCTAGTCTACCTTAAAGTGTCTTAGTGAGCCAAAAAATTATCCTGGGTAGTGATCAGTAACCGGGATTAATCGACCGGGATAAACTTTGCTAGACAGGGCACTTCATGTATGTCTCTCTCTCGAGGGATGGGCAGGGAGATTACTGTTGCATCGGTAAACCGGGATGGCGATGCGAATGCGAGAGAATCCAAGACAATTGACGGTGAATGTGGATGTGAATGTGACGGCGACTGGGACTGCGACAGCGATGGCGGACTATCTAGCCCAAAATTATTGTTTGCCTGATGATCCCTGGAGGGAAAAAATTAAGTGATCCTCATGACATTTCTCTCTCCGAGGTCAGAAATCAAATCAAATCTCGCCCCCCAAAATTCTCTCCAAATCCCAAGTACCAATCAAAACCGAATACCTCATTGGTTGGACTAACATAAATTTTACCATTTCCAACTCCAACAACGCCATCACCGTCTAGGAAAATCCCCATCCCATGACATAACAATAAAATCGATAAACTGCGCAGAAGGTAACAGGTACAATGTACACAGGCAAGCCGTAGAGCCAGGGTGATCGCCAAGCAGGTCTAGAAGGGACAAGCGTAAACGAGCACGCGAATGAAAAGCGCACGTCTTTGTTAGCGAGACAGGGTTGCACTTCTCTGGGATTCTTGGCCTCTTGGCTTCCTCGGGAAAGCCTTCTAGGTCGAGGAAGGAAGGGAATGGGGCCACCGCGGGCAAAAGTAGGAAAACGGGGAGGCAAAAAAGAAAAGACGAAAATAATAATGATAACTCCTTCCGTCTAGAAGCTAGAAGCCGGAGGCCGTAAGCCAAATCAAACTTGAATAGGACTAAACGCGTACGCTAGGAAAATAGTAAGCCACGAGTCATGCATGCTTTGCATTTTGGTCATATTTCGAGTGTGTGTTTATTTTCGCCGGGCTGGATATGGCGGGCTTCCGTTTTTACGCAGCTAATATGGTTTTGCATAGAAAAGTGGGGGGTTGTGTTTGGATACTACGTTAAATCTGGTGTGTAGTGTCTAGTGTCTAGTGTCCATCGGGGCAGGTGGATAACGCGGGATTACGCTTGCTAATCATGGCGGATGGGCTGTAGGGATTGTAAAAGTAGAAACATCTAGGATTGTCCCAGGGCTAGCCAATAAGATTAGGAGATCCATCGCAGTAATATTCCTGATACTCCGTACTAGTGGAAGAAAATCCAAATATTGGCTTGGGTATTCGTATCATCATGGGCATTATCGGGATGGACTTGCAAAATAGAAAAATAATAAATCTTTCGGTGAAAATAGACGACCAATCCAGAGGGAATAATAACAGATAGCGGGGAAAAGATTAAACACATCCCATGTCAGGTATCAAGACAGAAACAGAATATCAACGCCGTTTCCTCCCTTTTAAAACAATGTATGGAAGATCACGCAGGCCATAAGGGGGAATCCATCCAGCGCCCTGAAAAGAACAGAGTAGATTAGAACAGAAAAAGAGCGATCCAACATAGATGCGAGTATTTGATTTCCAAGGGAACATCAATATCAAGGAAGAATAGAAGGTCGTGACGGGCATAAAACAACGCATTTCGCATATCAGTCTATGCGAAGTCTCCTCTTAGCCTACACCCAGAAAACCCCAGTCAGTCCCCTCAGGTTGATTCAAGATCCGGGGTGCTGGGGGTTTATACGCATAGTTTGGATGGTACGAAACCATCATTGGCTGTTCTTGTGGCATCTGATGGCCCTGGTAGGGTTGTTGTTGGTACTCCGCCGGGATGTAGTTCGTGCGCGGGTTGGGGTCATAGCGCTGTTGCTGTTGCTGTTGCTGCTGTTGCTGCTGCTGGAGTATTTGTTGCATATATTGTTGCTGTTGATGATGTTGGTGATGCTGATGCGGGTGATGCTGTTGGTGTTGCATGCTCATCGGAGAGCTAACGGGGATACTCTGGGCCACGATCGGAGGAGGAGCTTCGTGGACTGGCACCGTCCCCATGGGAACATTCTGCGGCGAATAGAACTCGTGGCTTGGTGTTGCCGATTGTGCGTAATATGGTTGCTGAGCGAGCATGTATTGATCGTTCGGGATTGATGCGGGCACCGACACCGGTGTTTGGTGGTGGTAGGAGTTCTCAGAGGTCGCATCTTCCGACGATGGCCGAGTCATCGCCCCTGGAGGGTGGGAACGATGTTGATGCTTCGTGAGAGTCGTTTTGCGACAGAAACTATTACAGTCAGACGGGTTATCATTCACGACTTCGTGTTACTTACCTCCGTTCGCATGCTGGCTCTTGGCAAATATACGGCCGCTTACCCGTGTGGATTCGGCGATGGCGGGCCAGACTCGATGACTGCGAAAAATATCAGTAAATGCACAATTCTACCCAGTGCCAAGTCCCTTACATCTGAAAATGCCTTTTGACAGCCTTCATGATCGCAAACGTGGGGCTTTTCGCCCGTGTGAGTCCTCGAGTGTACGGTCAAGGCACTGCGCTGAATGAAACTCTTATTGCAATCTGTTACAGTGCATTGATATGGTCGCTCATTGGTATGGATGCGATAATGCCGACAGAGATCTGACTTGCGATTGAAAGACTGCACCCAGGTTAGGGGGGAATGTATTTCACGAATAAGCAATACTCACCTTGTGACAGTCTCCCCATGTGCAGTTAAAATCGCGGCCGCTACCAGGAGCCATGATGGGAGGAAAGACAAAGAGAGAAAGATTAGAGAGGGGAGGGGGAAAAGAAAAGAGAATCCTGGTCAGGCAGGATGGATAGCCGGGATGTGTCGAACCCGCATAATATAGGAATATACGAGAGGGGGGAGCCTCAATCTGGAGAGTCTGAGAAGGGGAAAAACGGCGCGGATGATACCGTATATAAGAAGTAAGTACTGGGTACTAAGTAAAATAAGAAAATAGTCTAGTAATCAGTAATAAAGTAATAAAAGTAATAAAAGTAATAAAAAGTCCAGTAATAAAACAATTAAAAAAAAGGGAAATTAAGAGGGGTAATTTATTTTTAGTGGTAAACCCCCACATTACCATACAATACACAGTATTAGCCTCTATTAAGTTGTTGGATATCGCAGTTGACCACTCACATTGGGATTTTTGGGTTCGGTGAGAGAAAGAGTCTATACCTACCTGGGACATGATATCATATATACTTTCTAATACTGTAAAGCTACTCCATAGACGGGAGATGTATATGATATGGAAGTAATTTCCCCCAGCTCACTCCATGTCTCCGCAAACTATAAACTATAACCAAAGAGGAAAAGGTAAAAGATAAAAAAAAAAGAAAGGAAAAAAAGGCAAACCGAGGAGAATCATCACCCCCCAGGCAAAGAGCGGAACGATAACTGCAAGGGATATCCTATGACGCGGCATCACTCTGCAGCGACAGAGTAGACTCGGAGTAATGAAGCCCATCCCGAAAGAACCTGGGAAGAATCAGGTACCCTAGCTTCTCAAGATTCACGGGAACGGCTTGCTCGTCCACCCCGAACCCGTCTAAGGCTCCGGGTACCCCATCTGCCATAAGGTTGGGGCTGTTCCCGTCTCTCCACAGTTCCAGGCTATAGCAAATGCCGCGGAGATGAAATATGTTGTACATCCACAGATCAACAGGGTGCACACATGTACCTGTAGGGGTTTTCTTGAAATCCCATTTTGACGGGTTGTGTTTCTGGTTCAAATGAAAAGCGCGATAGACTTTCGACTCGATATACTCTCGGGCATTTCATTCGTTGGTCATGCACACTACCTGAGAGTGCCACATCCCTGTGTTGTGAGTGTGAACAAGGGGCGTCTTTTCTTCTTCACCGTATAATGTCCAGCAATCATATTTGCTTTTCCTTTTAAAGACGTAAGTGGCATCACTAGGTTGCTTCCAAGTCCATCTTGCCGCCACACTTAAAGTCTGTTTGGAAGGTCAGGCAGAAACAAATGCATGGTACTTTTTCTTTTCTTTTTTTTAAATAGCCTCTCTTTCTCTCTACACTCTGTGGCAAACCATGTGCTTGACGTTCGGAATCATGGATCATCGCCTCATTCACAAGAGAGGAGGATCCGGATAGCCTCGGTTGGCCCGGGTGTAGGCTCAGCGGAGATACCGGCGACGCCGCGATCTGCGACTGTGCGGTGAGGACACGAGATATGCTCATATGCTAGAGCGTTTTATCGTCATGGGCTGAAATAGCAAAGCCATAGGTGCTACAATCTACATGTATTTTTAAAAAGAGAAGAGGTGCCGTGGTACCTCCTGAACGTGGCGATCCACTAGGATAATCTTAAACAACGATCGTCTGATCCTATAACCTTACTTGGCTGTCGATGGAGTATACGCCACGAGGAAAGCAGAAAGAGGGAGGTGGATAATCCACGCAATAGGAATGGCCTATCAGGCTCTGTTGCCTTTTTCGTGATCGACACCTGTCTACTTCGACAACTTTCCCGAGTGGCCTGCCTGTTTGATCACTGCCACAGCTACCCTGGCGGAGGAGCGCAGATCTTGTTTCAAGATCCAATCGACCTTCCCAGGCTATCCAGACTGACTCTGATGATGTACACTCTGTACGAGGTGAAAAGCATGTGCAGTTTCGAGGGCCATACGAAATCCTCCGCTAAAATGATGGATGCAGCCCACTTCAGCCATCGAGCTCATCGGACATATCCTGGGACAAGAATTAAAATAAAATAGAATAAGTAATTCCTGTAATAAACTCATTTGAGAGTACACCAGATTCAGCCACTGTACAATCTAGCTTGCACAGCCCATCGGCCATCTTCGGCCCCCTTTCTAGGCGTTAAAATTGGATGGGGTCCAGAATTTCGCAGACGCGCTCTGGTTGACACTACAAAACCTTGGAAGCAAATCCCGTCAAGTGGAGGAGTGAGATTGCAATCTGTTGATCCACCCCTTAGGCGAGAGATAACTTAAACTGCAAGCACATGTAGCTCTAATCCTCGGTGGGCTACTCACTGGATTGCACGCTAGATGAAACGGTATTCACTCCGCAGAGCTGTACGACTCGTCGATCACCTCGGCATATGGCCTAGCTTGGTTAAGTACAGCTACTGATACATATACATTTACGTTGCCTATGTAGATAGGAAGAAGCCATTGCATGGTGAAGTGGGATGTGACTGCCGAGTTTGACGCGGATGCAAGAGAAAACCGGTGTGCACGCATGATGGAATAGAGGATACATATACATATATGTACATGTAGAAATGAGTCAACATCGTCCCAGGGAGCTGGATAAATAACCTTTTGTTCGAGCTTTCATTTGCCGTGGAGAAGGTGTCCGGACAGGGATCGAGGCCAAGTGTCCGATTAGAGGGCTCCACTCGTTTACGTGGAAGTTGATACATGTACATGTACACTGTAAGGCTTTTCACGGGAGAAGCTGTGTGAACCTGCATGACAATAGAGTTCCTAGAGGAAGCTCTCACTCGCCCTCCCCTCTCTCTACCCCGCATTTTGAGTCGACTTGGCGAGTGATACAGATGCAGTTGATGGCTGACGGTGGAAAGTATCAAGTACGTGTACGAAGATAAAGACTGGTGGACACACATATGTCAAGCTATAGTGAACGTTACCCGACATTCCCATACCTCCATGTGAAGCAAAAACAACGAAAGACATTTCGCAGCCATACGTAACCCCAGAATCGCTACTATCTTCCCACATGTTCCGAAAAGCCACGCTAAATTAATCTCCGACGCGCGCATGGCGAGGTCCGGACGACTATCGCCCAGGCTGACAAGTGACCAGGCAAGCTGACTGGCGATTCAGTAAATATTTCCATTACCTTTTCTGCCTAGGAGAAGCAGTAGAATGCTAATCACGCTCTGCTGGACTGGCTAGCCGGACAACATGTTCTAGCTTCACATAAGTCAGATTAAGCCGGACGATCTACTGTCTATCCATACCTGATAGAATCGTCACGGAAATAAAATCCAGTCGGTTTCATACTCCGTCACAGCTCGTCTGATAGTCGCGAAGTGTCGGTCAGCAATACTTCTCCTATCAGCGCTAGGCACCGCAGGGTCTTGGGGCTTGAGGTCAAACAGCCACCATTTTGGCCCCTTGCAGGTATTGACTGTCCATTCATGTTTTGATTCAAAAGATAGTAGTAAGAAAGCGAGAAAGCCAAACCTACCGCCCCTGTCAAAACCAAAGCCAGTCATTTTCTGGTACGCCTCCTTACTGCATACTATGGAGTCAACCAACAACTCGCTCCGATTGTATCTTGTACCAACTAAAGAGAAACAATCCAGAGACAGGGATATCATCCCGTCTACCAAAACCCCGCAACAAAATCCTATCCCCAATCCGCGTCACCCGCTCTCTCTTCCTTCTGTACATGGGTGCAAGGGGGCTAACAAATCTCCTCTCTATCCTGTACAATCACCGTCTCAAGTCCGTCCCTCTAGAAGCCCTGTGGAGCCAACACCACAAGGGCTGATGGCGGCTGATGGGCTTGGCTTCTCCCCATTTTCCCCTTTCTATCATCTGATACCCCCTTACTAATGGGCGTGCAGTATGACGTTTTGTGTTGGTCTAAAAATGGGGGTTGCCGGCGATGGCTTCATCCTTATCCATGCAATGCCGGCTCGGCAGTCGGGTACGCATGCACGCCAACGACTAACGTGGAGATAGCACGGCGCATTATCGTCTCCTTGCGCTGAGGATGTATTTTTTTCTTGTTTCGTGCTGTTTTGTGGGGTGCATGGGTTGGAGGGGTGTATGGTATGGGTATGGTGTCGGTATGAGTATGGCGTGATAATCTGATTGTCTGTACAGTCGGAGGTGTGCTCACTACAGCCTAGAGCGTGTTTTTGATCTGACTGTGGCATAGCTGGGCATAGCTGGGCATAAGCGGTTTTGTGGCTTGGCTGGACTTTGGACCTTCTTTTTATTTTTTTTATTTTTAACAATGATATTCTAATGCTAAATCACATATGAACTCAATCCCGGCGATGCCCGGATTATGAATCATGCAAGCTGTACCCTGACTCTGGAGGACAGACCCGCATTCAGAGGATGTTATATCGGAACACAAATGAATGCATAGACCAAAATGCAAGATGGAAGCTATACCCGATGTATATCTCAATAGATCCATGATATCAACACCAACAACTTTAACACATTCAGCATGGATAACGTTACCAACTCGTTACACCGCGCTCTCGATCAAACCCAGCTCGCAACTGTGATCCAGGCTTGAGCAACTTGCCCTGGAGAACAGTATACTTGATAATATTCTCGCACTCCTCGGGCCGCACACGCGCCAGCCAGATTCCTTGCGCAGCACCCTCATCCTCACGATCCACACTCTCAACAGCATCACGCTTGTACCAGTCGAAGTCTCGTCGACGGTACACAATCACATTGGCAGAGTATTTATGTCCACCGACATGACTGATGAAGTAGATACCCACACCGCCAGGTCTCTCGTCGTCCATATCGCGGTATAACCCGAGCGGCCGCAAGTGACGCTCAAATTCCTTTCTGAGGAGTGGTGCAGATTGGCCGCAGCGGGCGTCGCGCGTGCGCTGGGAGCAGAGTAGGATTACTGCTGCGTGTGGGCAGGGGTGGGAGTGGAGGGAAGTGATGGATGTTGTGGACGGGTGCGGCAGCTCTGCTTGGCCGGTTTGTTCGTTGTCGGGGGAGGGTGGAGGAGAGGGTTCCAACCATGCGCCACCGAGTGGTGTTGTGGTTGTCAGGGATTTGTTGACAAAGTTCTCAATCAAATCTGGAACCAGTTGCGGCGTGACGTGCTCTACGACGGTGAAGCTGGGCAGGAGGAGCACGTTTGTTGGTTGCTTCCCTTTTTCTTCCATGTGGTATTCGTCTGGGACAGGCATGTTCGAAGCTGATAGCTTGAGTCTCTGGTTCGTTATTGTTAGCTGGTGTTTTGTGCCGTGGGTTATGGGCTCTGCTGGGCTCTGGGCTCTGGCAAGCAAAGAGCTTCAGCTGCCTGGCTGCTCGTCATACCCCATTGCTCGGTTCTAGTCCTCCCTTCTCAATTGCTTCCATGACACTTCCCTCCTCATCTGCCACATCTCTGACCCAATCTGATTTGCCGGTTGCGACGAGCAGGTGCGTCGCCCACCCGTTGACCTGTCCGTATAGTTCGTCTTGGTGGTCGACATCGAATTTCGCGGGGTACTTGACCGTGCATGTAGCACAGTCGTGCAAGCAGTCTTCCCCGTCTACAGCTGGGTCGACGGTTCTAAACAGCTTATCGCTGGATGCGACTTTCTGGAATCCCTCTGCGGCGAGGGCATTGTCGCCCACAGCGTCGGTCGTGGCATCGGTCTTGGAAGAGGCGAGGGAGGCGTTCGAGGAGTTGAAGAGGGAGGATGCCCCTCGGCGGAAGAGATGCATTTTTTTACAGAGTACAGCGCACAGATTACTTCTTTGAGAAGGAAGAGTCTGCTTGAATGACGCGTATGGCAGTGATGATCTTATCAATCATTTTGCAGCTTTGCCGAGCATCGGAATGTTTCCGTCTGACTAAGCCCCCACGTTTTCCGGTCAAAAGCCGTCCACTTGCCGGTTTCTATAAACTAATATACATTTCATGAATGGGATGTCGTCAATGCCTACGTCCAGCGTAGTCAATGGTGTAAGGTAGATCTGTAGGATCTCGTGGCTGTGTCAGGCGAATGACACTACCCGTCGAGCTGCCAGACCGACCCGATGGTACATGTCGGAGGGACCTTGTAGAAGGCGTGCGGAAAGGGCCTGGTCCCATGTAAGAGCCGCTTCCAATTGACGTGCCAGAGTTAGGGCTTTGCATTGCGGGTGCAGTGTCATATCTAGACAGGTTGTCCCAAGTGGACGCATTGGATGGGCGGAGGCTGTTGCTGCGCATTGGTCCCAAAGACCGATCGTACGCAGAATTGTCGACAGTATCTGTTTCGCCCTCTTCGTCTGAAGGCCCGATGACAGAGTCGGTATAAGCTTGTCGGAAGCTTGCGCTGTCATATAGCTCATCCAAAATCGGCGGTGCGAGAGTGGTCATCCCTCTCAGGACCTCAGCAAAGAGATGCATCAGATCACGGAAATCCGCCTCATGCAGATCCCGTGATGAAAACCGCGCACGTTCGTAATGCGCGAGAAAGTCTGCACCTAATTCAGCAGGGTAGATTACTCCCAGGGATGTTAGGTGCCGAATATACTCTCTCAACCCCATAGAAGCGGGCCGTTGCAGCACTTCCACCACACGCGTATCTGGGAGAGAATGCGTCGTAAGGTCATTCGACGGACCGAAGGGGTCTGGGGACGCAGTAGATAACGAATCCGCCGGGGCAAGGGAGACAGCTTTAGCTTCAATTAAGCTAGGCAATTCCTGGATGACCGTGCGATATGGTAGATCCGGGAGATCTGGCGAAGCAGGCGAAGACCAGCCGGGATGCTCGACATGGCCCCACGGGGGTCGTTCAGAGTCGACCAGAAGCTCTTTGTAGCTTTGGAAGTTGTCCTCATCGGCAGCGATATCGCGTGGACGTGCCTGGTACGCGATTACCGCGCTACGGGTGAGGCCTTCCTTGACCAGTCGTCTAACGCTCCTGTTCACATCTTCCTTCTCAACGGGAATCCAGGCTCTCGGGATGCCGGTGAGTGTGTTCCGGTTTGTGTAAATGCGTGTCGAGTAGATGAGGACTGTGAGAAGGAAGGTAATTACGTATGCGCCGGTGATGAAGAAGATGTTGGTGAGTCGGCGTGTTTCGTAGCATTGGTAGATGGCATCTGCCGGGGTGAGGAGGATTAGGCAGAAGAGGATGACGGCGAAGAAGAAAAATCCGGTCGTATTGATAAACCGTTCAAGTCTGACTGCCATGACCGCGCGCCGAATGCACGGCAGGTGAGAATTAGCAGACCTCAGCCATGCGAGGAAACGAAGGAGAGAATGACGAAGCACAACAGTTCCGGAAGGTTGCGATAAGGATAAGGTCACGTGCAATATAATTGTTGTACAAACCCCCTTATGCAATCCGAACGAACCCACCGTTGTCACTCGATGGTGTTACCAGTTCAAGGTTGGGACCAGCATCTGCTCACATATCGCATTCACTAGGAACTCACGCGCTAGCCTTGCACCCCTCAAACATCTTCAATTGAAGATTTATCCCAGACTCCTATCTCCGAGATTTAAAAAAAAAGTGCACACACCAAAAACACAACAAATCATGGATAAGGAGACCCCGGAGACCCCTCACGAGGCAGCAGACATGCTGTATATCCTGGTAACAGGGGCAAACAGGTAGCACCCCAAATTGAACCCATTGCCCCAAATATCCAGTACTAACACGAACTCACCGCAGCGGCCTCGGATTCTCAATATGCTGCCGCCTCGCCGATGAATTCCTCGCCTCCCACCCAAAATCCCAATCCCTCACAATAATCTTCACAACCCGAAGCGCCCGCAAAGCTGAAGACACCCACCGCCGACTCGAAGCTCACCTCCGCTCAAGCGCGCACTCCCCAACCGCCGCAGCACGCGTCCACTTCATCAACGAAAGCGTCGACCTTGGCAACCTCCTCTCAGTCCGCGAACTGTCGCGCAAATTAATCCGCACCCTCCCAAGACTCGACTCAATTATCCTAAACGCTGGTCTAGGCGGCTGGTCCGGAATCGACTGGCCAAGCGCAATCTGGGGCGTGTGCACCGACCTCGTCCACCAAGTAACATGGCCGTCGTACAAAGTCGCTCCCGTCGGCGTGCTCACCGACAAGCAAACAACCCTCCCCGAGGAACCGCCTCTCGGCGCGGTATTCTGCGCAAACGTCTTTGGCCATTACATGCTGGCGCATAATGTAGTGCCGTTATTGAAGCGCGCTCGCATTCACGGGCCCGGGCGTGTAGTCTGGGTTTCCAGTCTCGAGGCCACGACCAAGATGTTCAAGGTCGATGATATCCAGGCGTTGAAGTCGTCGACTCCGTACGAGTCTTCCAAGGCTCTTACTGATATCTTGGCTTTGACGTCTGACTTGCAGTGTACGGCTCCGTGGGCCGTGGATGGATTCTTGGAGTCGGAGACAGAGGTTGAAACGCACGCTATTCATACCGATCCGCCTACTGCTGAGCCGCGCTCGTATCTCTCTCATCCTGGTATCTGCGCTACGGCTATTATCCCTCTTCCCCTTCCTCTTGTTTATTGTATGTTCATTGCTTTCTGGCTTGCCCGTATGCTGGGCTCGCCGTGGCATAATCTGTCGACATATCTGGGTGCTTGTGCGCCGGTTTTCCTTGCGCTTGGAACGCAGGAAGAGGTGGACGCTGCTGAGGCGCCGTATCATCTGTCTAGTGGTGGTCGAGTGAAATGGGGCTCATCTTGCACGCGGTCTGGGGTGGATAGTATTGCTTCTACTGAGCTCGATGGGTGGGGGCATGGAGGTGTTGTTGGGAAGTTTGTTAGTGAGGGTGATCGAGTCCGGCGGCGTAAGCGTGGCGCAGTGGACTTGACTCTGGAACAGAAAGAGGAGTTTGAGGAACTCGGACGCCAGTGTTGGAAGCAGATGGAAGAGCTGCGCGTTCAATGGGATGAGATCCTGGATCAAGCTGAAGCTAGCTCATAGGCAATCGGCCTGGACACGGAACGGGGTTGGCAGACAGCAACATAGGACTTGTCTTCTGCAAAATGGTTGACGACATACTACATCCATATCTGCATGTAATAAACTACGCATGTACAATGGTAATCACAATAATTCATACATTAAAGATCAAAGGAGTTGCATCTTTTTTTGTTTTGATATCCGCCTTCCATTATGTACATCAACAGAACCCGCCCAAGCCCATGATCTCATTAAAACAGATATGGCATGACTTCCTTGCCCACCAATTGCTAAAAACCAATGGATAGAAAAGAAGTGGAAACAAAAGTGTGGTAAACAACGCAAGGAAGCGAGAATGGAGTGATGAAACCTCAATATGGGGCAATAAAACGGGGATAGCTTAGAACAGGAAGAAAAACGAAATGAAAAAGAGGGGGAAGACTAAAAGGGGTAATTTCTTGCAAAAAACAGCCGATATCGCAGGCTTCCACCATCTAGGTTTCTGAATGTATCGATCATCGGGAGACGAAAGGAAGGATAGTGCGAGGGCGATTAGCGCCGACGGAGGAAAGGCAAGCCGGCAACAGAAGAGAAGATAACGCAGGAAACGACTCCGGTTCTATGCATTGAGGCGGAAAGGGTGGTATCGGCAGGAGGGACGAAGGGGAGGTATTTAGGGCATAGCGACGTGATTGAAGGGGGGAATTACATGATGATCGCGGGAACTAGAAGCAAGGTTAGTTTAAATCCAAACAAATCTTAAAGCCAAGACTTACCATCAATGTTCTGTTTGATGCTCTTGTGGGGCAGAATCGAGCCACCGTTAACATACACCTCGTCGGCGATAGTAACGTCGTCTCCGAGAACGGTGACGTTCTCAAGACGAGCCCAGCGGCCAACGGAGCTGTTCCAGCCAACGATGGTAGACTTGATCCAGGCATGGTCCTTGACCTTGCAGTTCTCCATGACGACGCAGCGCTGCAGACGGACACCATCGCCGATCACAACGTTAGGACCAATGACAACGTTGGGGCCGATGCGGCAGTTCTTGCCGATCTTGGCAGAGGGGTCGACCATGACATTGCCACCGTGCACGTAGGACTCGGAATGCGGTGCAAGAAGCTTGGGGTTGCGCTTAGCCAGGGAGGTGAGGTACAGGCAGGTACCGGTCAGGAAATCCTTGGGCTGACCAACATCCATCCAGAAGCCTTCGAGATCGAAAGAGTGGAGCTGGCCCTCCTTACAGATGGCGGGGAAGGTCTCCTGTTCAATGGAGGTAGGGCGCAGCTCAATGCGCTTCAGGACACTGGGATTGAGGATGTAGATTCCAGCGTTAATACGGTTGCCAACGAATTCGACGGGTTTCTCGACGAAGCGGTCGATGCGGGAGGCGTGGTTCGGCTTGTGGACAACGACACCGTACTTGGAGGGCTCGTCGACCTTGGTGACGACAATGGTACCCTCATCGCCGTGCTTCTTGTGGAAATCGGCAAGGTCTTTGAAGGGGTAGTCGCAAATGACATCGGAGTTCAAGACAAAGAAAGGCGAGTCATCCTTGCCCAGGATCTTCTCCGCCAGCTTGAGCGGGCCAGCCGTGCCCAGCGGTTCGGACTCCACAGAGAACTCAATGTTAACACCGTATTCCTCCTCATATTTCTTGAGCGCTGCAACCATGACATCGGGGCGGTAGTTGACAGCAAGAACAATATCGGTGACACCCGCAGCAGCCAAGCTCTCGACTTGGTGCAGGATCATGGGCCGGTTCCCGAACTCCACGAGAGGCTTGGGGAGAGTGAGAGTCTAGATAAGAGCATTAGCATTATAGGCCAAATCAAAACTCACCACTTCCCCGATCGGAGGGGTAAGTCAATGGGAAGGGAGATCGACGACTTACCAGAGGACGCAGACGGGTCCCGAACCCTCCAACAAGAATGAGAGCTATATAGAGTCAGTGCTGAGCGTGGGGAAGCATTGTATAGAGCCATACCCTTCATATTGAATTGGTAGTGAAGATGATATTAGAAGAGTAGGTGGAGGCAAAGCAAAAGGAGAGACTCAGTATTTAGGGAACACCTGGCCGTTGATGGATTTATTTTCGTCCAAGTGGGGGCACGTGAGCGGTGATTGGAGGGGCTCTGTTTGCGGGAAAAGGGGTATGTATAGATGCGTTCTATATTGCTTCACCCTGTGAGTGATATTCTGAATTCGGAGTTTATCTGTCTTCTAAATTCCTTTGATCCTTTAATTCTTTTATTTTTAACGTATTTTATGTATCCTTGTATGTTAAGTGTGACCATGAAGAATTCGACGTGTGCATCGACCTGTATAGGATCTCCTGAGGTCTCAGCTTTTAGCTCAGCCCATCCCGGCGTATACATCCAATCTTATTACGTGGTTAGCATCGGACCCCCCTGAACCCTGCCCTCATTCCAATGGCGAGGTCATGAGGTATCGCCCCTGAAGGTGGAGACGGGTCTCCCGTCCAGGATAGGTACATGCAGGAGTACATGTAAGTTAACTTGCGAGTACACATCACAGTAGAAAGATGACTTTCAACTTGGAATTCTATCCAATTTAGTTCTCAATTCGGCACAATAGCAATATAGCATCCATATAGCTATATAGCTATAATGTATGAGTATAAGCTAATGTTACTGCGTATCCGGAGGCAGTCGACCACGTGTTTCAAGCATTCCGGAGCCACCGCCTGCCGCATCCGTCAAGAATTGGAGCATCCACTCTCGTACTCTGCGAGTCTTTCGTAGTGGAGCATTCTGAATGTTACTATGAATGCTCTCATAGAATCCTACTGCATCCGTCACATCCACTGCTTGTCGGTGTAAGAGCTCAACTGTAGTCATCCCTCTGCGCAGACTCTGTCCGTACACCTGGATTTGGAATGTGCTCAGTCCAACATTACGCAGTAGGACAATATCGCAGGGTCGAAGGCCTGCCAGTGACCGGGCCAGCCCTGTTTCACTGCCGTTGACAGATGGGGTTTCTCGGGTTTGATCCAAAAGTTGACCCCAAATCCTGTCTTCGTCTCATCGGCAACGACGAGCTCAACAATGTCCAATTTGGTTTTCCATTGCCGTGTAACCACGCGGCGTGGGGGAGCGGCAAGGACCGCCACGATCAGGTTCACAGTCATGGTTTGCGGTGAAATGGATTGGATGTACTTGGCCGTAGGCAGGTCGTGCAGATCGCGGAGGGGTCCAGGGATGTGAAGTATGCGAGGTGACCTCGGGGCGTCTTTGTCATACATAGATGTAGATTGTTCGTCATAGTTGCCCACATATAGTTTATTTCGCTACTTTCCGCTCCCATCAATTTCAATATCTTAAAGAAACACGGAGTTACTATCATGGCTGGCGATATCTTAAGAGAAGAAGGTCTTCCTGCTACCACACCAAGGTACCAATATCAAGGTATAGAGCAATGTCTTAGGTGCCTTGAACTCGAGTTAGAGCGTTATGATAGGAACGGCCAACCCGGTGACTGCCTATATGTTATATTTGATCATGTGGATGATCGTTCCTTCCAGGAGTGTTTCGAGGACGTCCTTAAGCATAGATGGGAGACCTACAACTTCATTTCTCATACTATTGTCCTCAAAATGACGACTTCTGATGTGCATGAGGCTGCCCATCGTGCTTTTAGTGAGATCTTTTCGGCTTGGCATCGGGGCCAGGAAAGTCGTCTTATTCCCACAGGAGGTGCAACTGTTAAGGGGTTCACAAGGAAGAAGCACCCCGATTCGTCCTGGAAGACATCAGTTCATATACCTGGAAGGGACATGAAGTGGCCGACAATCCTTATTGAAGCAGGATGGTCTGAATCAATAGCCAAACTAAAGCAAGATACTTTGTTCTGGCTACGCGAATCGGAGCAACAGGTTAAGGTTGCCCTTACAATTCAGGTTACTCGGAGGGGAAGCGTCACAATCCAGCAATGGGTACTCGACGAAACAGCTCGCAGTTCTGTTAAGCCTATCCAAACGATGCATATTACTCGAAACAGAAACCCCCGTTCACAACCCCAGATCTCAGGGTCGATACATGTTCAATTCGAAGACTGTTTTCTTCGTGCGAAGCGGGGCAACGAGTCAGATTTTGATCTATCGAACGAAGACCTAACGGAAATTGCAGAAGCTGTCTGGCGTTGCCTTCCGGAGTGAACTGCTTCGACCGCCTCCACGTGATCACTACGGAGTCCGATTGGGGCACTGTGGCAACGGCTTTTCGCCGCATCAAACAGCCATCACCTCAACTCTTTCGTCAGCGATGGCATGCTCTTTTATTAGGGTCTAACGAATTCCGACTTTCTACATTTGACTCAGGGGAGCAGACCCTCATCTTCGCACGCGGCCGAGCGCCGCTGTACATCGGACAGACATGGCTTTCCAAGCCCCGATTCCTGTGAGTGCTGCTTGTATCCCATTGCGAATATCCCACTGATGACAGCGATCTACTATCAGAATATTGCGGCCTTGACATCAGAGCTCTGGCCCTCAATGTCTAACATCTTAGCCTCTCCCTTCAGACAGATCGGGCGAACTCCGACGGCCCACGTCAGCGAGCCTCTCCAGCGGAGCTCTGGCAGACCAGAGAATGTGGTGGTACGGCATACTTCTACCCCGTGTGATTTTTCGGATGCTGATGGATATAGACCTCTCAGCGCGTTCCGCTTCCAGATTGCCTGGAAACCGTTTCCATTGACACGTTGAGAGCGGAGGTCATTAGCCGTCCCGCGCAACGTGCATGGTCGTCACTGTTGAGCACAAGTATGTCAACCTCCTCTATCAGAATCCGTTGGAAGTATCAAGCTAACCCGGAGTTGCCTGCAACAGACAGCTCAATCCGGACCACATCCTTTTCACCACCCCGTACTCTTCCCGGTGTCCGTTCCTGTTCGACTCTGTCCCCCTTTCGTCTCAACTCCCTACGCCCAGCCCCGAAGCTTAATGGTGTCTTCAAGCTCCAGCAGCAACGATTCTTGTTCGGAGGATCCGGGGATCGTCGCACTATATGCTAGCCCAGAAGGAGAAGGTCGCAAACAACAGTCCCAGCAGCCCCAGTGCCCAAAATGCTTTCTACCAGGCTCTTCTTCGTGCCAACATGCCCGGAATCGTTCTCGAGCGGCACCGAAGTGGTTATTATGCCAGCGACGGCACGACCGATACGTTGCTCCAGCAGGCTCAAGCGCGTGTCGGTGGCGACGGAGCTTTCGCCGGACAACACGGAAACCTTAACCCCGAACAGCTTCAGGCGGTTGGCCAAGCAGTCGCCGCTCGGAGTACTGGCAGTCAAATTGGAATGGCAACTCGGCAAAACGGCACCGGTGCTAAGGAGGCTCCTCTCTATGTTGTGGTTGATGAGTCTCTGGGAAGCACTGTGTTCCGCTGGGTCAAATTCTTGCTCATCTTCGGCTTCTTCGCTTATATTTCTCTGGTCACGGTCACTATCTTGGTTGAAACCACTGGAGTTCTGAAAAACGTCCGCGGCGCCCAAGACAAGGAAGCCCAGCCCCAACAGCAAACCGCGCGCTTCAGTGATGTGCACGGCTGCGACGAGGCTAAGGACGAACTGCAAGAGCTCGTGGAATTCCTCATCAACCCGGAACGTTTCTCCTCCCTCGGTGGTAAGCTCCCCAAGGGTGTTCTCCTCGTCGGCCCTCCTGGTACTGGTAAGACCCTGCTTGCGCGTGCTGTTGCTGGGGAAGCAGGTGTTCCGTTCTTCTACATGTCTGGATCTGAATTCGACGAAGTCTATGTCGGTGTCGGTGCCAAGCGAGTCCGTGATCTATTTGCTCAGGCTCGTGGCAAGTCTCCCGCTATTATCTTCATCGATGAACTGGATGCGATAGGTGCCAAGCGGAATGAGCGCGATGCTGCCTACGTAAAGCAGACGCTCAACCAGCTTCTCACTGAGCTTGACGGATTCTCTCAGAGCAGTGGCGTCATTATCATTGGTGCTACCAACTATCCCCAGCTGCTGGACAAGGCCCTGACTCGTCCTGGTCGATTTGACCGCAAGGTCGTCGTCGATCTGCCCGACGTCCGTGGCCGTATGGACATTCTGAGACACCACATGAAGGAGATCCAATTCGGTCCCGATGTCGACATTGGTGTTATTGCGCGTGGTACTCCAGGCTTCTCTGGTGCTGACCTAGAGAACCTGGTTAACCAGGCTGCGATCCACGCCAGCCGTGACCGCAAGAGCAAGGTTGGCTCGTTCGACTTTGATTATGCCAAGGACAAGATCATGATGGGTGCCGAGGCTCGCAGCCGTATCATCCAGGACAAGGACAAGCTTTTGACTGCTTACCACGAGGCCGGTCACGCCCTCGTTGCTCACTTCACGTCTTCTTCTACTCCACTCTACAAGATCACCATTGTTCCCCGTGGTATGGCTCTGGGTGTCACCCACTTCCTGCCGGAGATGGACACAGTCTCCAGGAACTACACCGAATACTTGGCAGATATTGCCGTCTCCATGGGCGGTAAGGCTGCGGAAGAGCTGGTCTTCGGCCACGACAACGTCACCAGTGGTATCTCAGCTGTAAGTGTCACTGCGTTTTACCATTCATATCGTCAAATACTAACTCCTTTGTAGGATATCCAAAGTGCCACCGAGACGGCATTCACACTCATCACCCGATTCGGATACTCCAAGAAACTAGGCAATGTCGACCTCTCAACCAACTACGACAGCCTGTCATCCGAAACCAAGCAAGAAATTGAGGGCGAGGTGCGCCGACTCGTAGAGGAAGCCCGTGACCGCGCAACCACCATTCTAACCGAGAGGCGCAACGAACTCGAGCTCCTGACCAAGGCGCTGATCGAGTACGAGACGCTCACAAAGGAGGAGATGGAACAAGTGCTGAGGGGCGAGAAAATCAAGAAGCTAGTGTCATCCCCGAGGGCTCCGGTCAAGCTTCCCGATGCCTTGCAGTCGACCAATATCAACCCATCCACGGCGGCCGGGGGTCCCCCCACTGCCACAGAATAAGCTCTTTGTTTTTCTACTCCCTCTTCCTTTCCTTTCTCCTCTCTGTGATTGTTTGATTACGTCTTCTTGTTTTCCTGCTGGCTCTACGAAAACCACCTATGCTTTGTGTCTCTATCGTGCATCCCCGGATCGTTCGGGCGTCTTTATTGAAAATACCATTTTTCCTTAGTCCTCTCTTCTACATCTTGTCGCTCAATTTGACGTCTGCAAGTCGGTGTGATTATTTCCTCGCTGTTCTGCTGGGTAATGCCATTCTGGCTTGAGCGGATCTGTACTGTACATATTCTCTGTACGTCTATGTCATACATTATTATTGATTGCACGTCCCATGTAGCTGTAGATCTAGTCCCCATCGAGATAGGCCCTTCCTCAAATCAATCTTTTTTCCTCTCAATCTCAAAAGCCTGAAGCTTCTCAAACGCCCTCCAAATCTCAACAACACTCTCTTTAACATAATCTGATACACGTCAATAGCCACCCAAAATATCATATCATAGTCATAGAAATACTCACAACAACCAACAACCATCCAAATAAAATTAAAAAAGAAATAATAAAACCAGAAGTAATACCCTTCCGGTCGACAATACGATTCATCCAGCAAGCTGGTGGCATAGTAAAGCACGTCACCGTAAACCTGGCCGGTCGAGATGATTATTTGCAAAGCATGTCGGATTGGATGTTGTACAGCGATGCAGTATGCAATTAAGAAGGCTAGGGGACCCCATGCAAACTGGATAGAAAGGTATATTGTTAGAATGTAGCGCACGAGTAGTAAGGACGAGATTATTTTTCCATATAGAGGTGGATGTAGATGTAGATGTAGATGCACATACCGCAGTAACAGCCTCCATAGAAACCAAAAACGCATCGGACGTCAAATACCGCGAATCAGAAAGCGAGTATTCCTTCCATAGCTGGGAAAACAGAGCTTGGCCACCGGCAAGGGTTTTATGGTTGATGACGAAGTGGGCTTCGAAGAATAGGTGGATGAATCCCGCTATTGATGTGATATATTAGAAGGATTGTTCTTGGACTATCCGTGTTTTCAATGGGGTAATAGGGAACAGGGAGGAGGGCCGGATGTAAGTAAATGTAGACATACTCAAACACATCCAAGTAAACGCAATCCGATCCGACAAGCTCGCTGTCGGCCGTAGACGACCTATGAGGAAGAACGAGGCGCTGAGAACAAACCCCCATTGGAGACCAAAGCGAGTGATTAGTGAAATCACTGTGCTTTCATTGGGAGTATAATGGGGTAGGGTGATCCAGGGTGGATAGTAGTTGTGGGATATCGGGGTTGAATTCATATTGCGGGCTTGTGTATTTATATCGTAGCAAGGGAATGGCGGATATGAAATGGTTTCGATTATATGCGTGTGTTTTTACCTCCTTGTCTCTTTATATAGTTACATGTAAACACGAAGCTTGGGTTAAGCCAAGACACGACGGAGTCTCGGGGCCCGCGGATGCCGTGGACGGTTGACCCCTGTGCGACAGCCGTGTCAGCCGAGTCAGGCCAGTCTTTTATTTCGAATTTGTAATGACCTTTGACTAATATTTCTTGGTACTGTGGTGATTCTTTATGATATGGGCAACGCAAAGATGTTGGGGAACTGTGCATCTACTTCACCAACGATACTGGTGTAATAAGTGCATTTTGCAAGGGCCTAACTCGGACAGAGGATGAGATGAAGCAAAGGTCCAAGGGAGGACCTTCACTTGAATCACTTGAAATGGCTAAAAATGACGGCGTCGCACAACAAGACACTGATGTGAACAAGTCAAGCGTTTGAGGGTGAGCACTTCTATGCGGGGCCAGTCACCCTCGGTTGATAAAGGACGAGGTCATCAGTCTTTATTTTCTAAATTGCCGGGCAATTCCTCATTTTCAATCTCTGGGGGTATTGACATATGTATAATAAATTTGCGCCATAGAATCCATTTTGAAATCAACAGCTGAGTACTATTGCTTATATATAATAAGGTGGTATGACATGGGTACACTATAATTCTTTAACAAAGCTGAAATATAAACATAACTAGCATACAACATGCAGACCCGAGCCCACGGGTCTACATACACCAAACCCCCGATCAAAACCTGAGGCCGCAACCCCCAGATATAGAACAAACCCTAAACTCAACCACGGACCCAGAAGTTCCAGTCCCAAACTCTGGGTGATGACTTCATCTCCGCCCGAGGCAGTGAAATCATAGTTCCAGAACGAACATGATTCTGCTTCCCCACTGGTATGATGTCATATCTGATTTTGGGGGTTTGAATGGGTGATGCCTATTTCAGCTTGTTTCGGGATTATCGGGGTAGAGATGTAATGGATGAGGTTGGGTTAGAGTTGGAGGGAGGGGAGAATGCTGTATATTTGTGAGATGCTGGTAGGTCATGTTTTGCACTGTCTCAAGAATGTCGGTCGATACAATTTATAAGTTAGATATAAGGAGTAGATGAATATAGATGATGATTTGGAATGTTTTTGGCTTCATTTTCTCACGGAACGGTAGGTATATACACATGCTAGGCCAACATAACATCATCCAAAGGAAGAGTAGTCAACAGCGTAATGAAAAGAAAAAATGAAAATAAAATAAAACTTTCCAGCTCATCCCCTCATATCCACGCTGGAAAAAAAGACGATTCCCATCATAATTCATGAAATGAAGGGAGGAAAGGGGCTGGCGTGATAAACACACGCCTATTAGGACGGACTTTCTAATCAGGGAGGCTCTCTAAATATATATAAAAAATGGAAACGTGGGGTTGTGTCCAGATTTCCCCGGAAGAAAGATGGATGATCCGGGTTGTCCAAGAGAGAATATGTGCGGTGTCCGATGGTATGGTATGGTCTTGATGAAAACGCCCTCTCTCAAATCTCCCTCGCTTCTCTCATGTATGCGAGTCGTGCGAAGCACGAACTCGGTTCCCAGCCAGGGTCGATGACAGACCGGCTTGCGGTGTCGTCTCGATGAATATTTATAGAAATGTTGTTTATTCGTCATCGTCGTCGTGTTCCATGCGGTCTTCGTCGTTCATCCAGCCGCGGGACATTTCGACGGCCTTGGACCACTTTTTATACATGCGCCCGCTGGCTTTGGGGGTCATTTGGGGGTGAAGGACGCCCGATTGGCGCGGTTCATGTCCTTAAGCTCAGAGAAGTCTTTCCAAATGTCGATGGCGAAGCCGGCGGCGATCGCGGCTCCGAGGGCAGTGGTTTCGTGCATTGAGGGGCGCTCGACTGGGATTTGAATGATATCGGCTTGGGTCTGAACAGAAACAAGTTAGCAATGCCTAGACGTTGGTGAGATGTATACGTACCTGCATGCAAACGTCGGAATTACTCATGCCGCCATCGACGGCCAATTCCGTCAGACCCTTGCCACTGTCCATTGCCATGGCATCGAGGATAGCCTTTGTTTGGAAACAGGCTGCTTCCATGGTTGCACGGGCAATGTGCCCTTTTTGTGTGTGGGCGGTGATACCCCCTGGAAGACGTTAGCAAATGAACCTGGAAGACGCAGGGAAGGTCAACTTACAGATAGTTCCTTGGGCATCATCGATCCAGTAAGGAGCAAAGAGACCACTGAACGCTGTAACGAAAATGCAACCTCCATTATCAGGTACACTGGCGGCCAAATCACTGACTTTGCGCGAGTCACGGAAAAAGCCGAGGTTGTTCATTAAGAAAGACACACCACTACCCGCCACGGCCACACTCCCTTCCAGTGCATAGACAGGTTTGCGATCCCGACCCAGTTGGAAACCGACAGTACCTAGCAGACCGTGTTTTGAGATCACAGGCTTTTCGCCCACATTGTAGAGAAGGAAGCAACCAGTGCCATATGTGTTCTTGGCCATTCCAGGAGTGAATGCACAGTGGCCGACCAACGCTGAAGCCTGGTCACCTAGACAACTGGTGATGCGAACACCATCCAAGGGGCCTTCAACGATCCGACCAAAGCCCTCCGGGTCAGCCGAGGGAAGAATTTCTGGGAGACGGATCTTGGTCTTGTCAATGTCGAAGAATTTCAACAACCGATCGTCGTATTTGAGGGTTTCGAGGTTCATGAACATAGTCCGCGAGGCATTGGTCACATCAGTAACCAGACGCTTGTTCTGAGGGCCACCGTTGAGGTTGTAAATGAGCCAGGAATCGACGGTTCCGAATGCAGCCCGACCGTCATCATATGCTGACTTGACGTCGGGGAGATTGTCGAGCATCCATCGTAGTGTGACCGAGGAAGGGTATGTAGAGAGAGGGAGACCGCAAATATTGACGAGTTCATCCGCGCCGGGCTTGGCCTTGAGTTCACGCACCAGGTTGACAGTGCGGGTGTCGGTCCACGTGATAGCGTTGTGCAGGGGTTCGCCCGTCTCCCAGTCCCACACCAAGGCGGTCTCTCGTTGACTGGTGATGCCAACGGCTTCGATGTCGGATGCGTCGTGGCCAGCGGCAAGGAACGATTTCATGGCTTCTTCCATACAAATGTAGACCGACTCGACCAATTCGTAAGGGTCTTGTTCGTGCCATCTGTGGGGTGCGGGGCAAATCAATCCTGGGGTCTCTGATAAGATGTGAAGAAGGGGTTGTTGACACCTACCCTGGGTGCTCGTGAATCTGACGGAACTCGGTTTGATACTTGGCGACCGGGACGCCTGTGCAGTCGAAAATGATGAATCGAGTACTCGTCGTACCCTGGTCAATGGTACCAATGAACCGGTTCTTCAGATCACCAGGAACCTTATCCTCGTTCTGCAGTAGAGATCGGTCTCCATCGTCCTGCTGCTTTGGTCGGTAGTCGAGACTGGGACGTCGATGATGCCCCTCATGGGAAGGATGTTCTTCAGAGAGCTCAAAATCACCCGCGGGCTCCGAATCCCCATCAACGCTATCGTAGTCCAGTTCGAAAGGGTTCCGCATAGTGTATGTGAAATTAAGGCAAAAGTGGGAGAAAGGGCGAGCAGGTTTACGCCAGGATTTAAGGGAGGGGAAGAACTACGAGGTGGCGGTGATATGGGGGGGACCACAGCGTTGGCAGAAAAGTGGACCGTGACGTACCGGTGACCGGGCAACTTTGAGTGTTAGATTGGCGGTCACCAAGGTGGCGTAGGTAGAGGTAGAGGTAGAGGTGTAGGAGGTGGAGGTATAGGTATAGAGGTGAAGAGAGTAGAAGATATGTAAGTTAAAAGGGAAAGAAGGGGAAAAAGGAAGGGAGCTCTCCCACTTATCCAAAGGGGTGGGCCTAAGGAGGGGAGCCACAAATCCGGTTCGGGGTTTTTTTCTGATCAGAAGACCTCGTCACTCCCCCACTTCTTCTATACCTTCTATACTTCACTTATAATACCCCTTGGGCATCGAGCTATTCCCCCTTATATCTATTGAACTTATGCTTATTTCTCCTTTCTTTCAGACTATACTCCAGCTAAGCTCCTACTTCAGCTAGCCTCCATGCTATATACTCCATACTATGGCCTCCACATGTAGATCGAACACATGACACGATCCATTTTTGCCTAGTTCTAGAACCCCCCTTATTTTAGACCTTTGCAGATTACTTCCGATTCATGGAGAAATGCTGGAAAAATTAATTATTAATTTTTAGAGTAAGCCTACAGTAGGGCTAGGCGTCCCTAGATTCTAGTCGAGGCCAAGAACATTCGAATGCCCCTGGGGAACGGGAACCCGAACCCCTCTGCTCCCTACTTCTGGGGTTGATCATGCCTAGCATTAATTATCAATACGGTACATACGGTAACACTTAACACTGGCATTGGCATTATGTCCAAGGTCTTGGCCTGTTACCTATGATTTGATGACGTTTCCATCACGCCGTACCAGGTTCCCCAGTCTGGAGAACCGGTCTTGCCAATGTTTCATTGCCCTATAAGAGCCCACTATGGTCTAACGCGTGGAGGGGATCTGTCTGCCAGGGACAGGGACGTGCGAAAGTAGATCACACGAAGACGCAAAAATTCCCACTCGGCAAAATGGAATTCCACTGGAAAAAGAAAAGAAAAGAAAGGAATTGAGAAAAGAAATAGTGTCGATCTATGGATTCCAGCATGTTTTCTGGTGGCTATGTGCAACATGCAGGTTTTCTCGCTCTACCTTCCCGATCCAGTCGGGTATCTCATCTCGATTGTTTGTGTACTTCTTGTGTACCCGTGGACTTGGACTTGAAGAAAGACTTTGGACAAGTACCCTTTTCCACCACTAGTTATTGCTGATTATTACTATACAGGATTGTGACTAGTGTCTCCATAGTCGATCTCTAGTTGGATATTTTCGGCACCCCGTGACCCCCATGAATGTATCTATATTGAGCACATTCGTTTGTTATAGATTGAAAAAGCTGTTTCATTCAATGGTCATTTCAATATCAGAATGCATGTGTCATAATACCAAAGCACCAACACCAACAACATCCAAATACAGTCATAGACTATAAGTCCTTTCACAACCCCACTTGTATGTTAACAACCGCAACCCGACGCATTCGAAAACAGGTAAAAAAAGAGGTGAAAAAGAGAGGCCAAAGTAGGGCGAAAAAATGATTGGAACCGTATACTCGCTTCGACTGTCCAATACCTCATCAGTGGCACTGTATATTCGTTACGGTCCCCCGGGGCCCCAGAGGCCGTTATCCTTTTTATTCCCTCCTTGCTTGGGGGAATTCGGAGACCCGACGCCGATCTGCGGCAACCCGGTCTCTTGTGACCTGATAGTCGATCATTAATTCTCCCCTTTTCAGGTACTCCTGCAGATGTGCGATTGGGTGCCAAGCACGTGTTGCTCCGTTCTTTGAATATACTTTCCACTTACGAAGATTCCAAGATTGCCTTTACATCTCATCTTAACTTATCTCGTATAAGACTCAAAAAAACGTAGCGACTCTAGTCTCCAGCTATGGACACTCCAATTAACAAAAGAAAAATTTCAGTGGCCGCCCCTAGTGCGTTCTGCGTATATTCTACAGGAAATCACGGGTAATGCAAACAGAGGTTCTGTCTCAGGAGATCGAACTCCTCACCTTGTCAAAAGGCAATTTAGTCGGTCTCCTCGATCTCGCCACGGCGACGAGCATCAGCTTCCTCCTTCTCCTTCTTCTGGAGGAAGATCAGAGCGTTGATCTTGTCCTTGATGGTGTGCTCAGAGACGAGGGTCTGCTGGATCTGCTCACGGCCGATCAGGGTGGCAACAATGCTGGCACCGACAACGAAGGTCAGGACGAAGCGGTACATGCCGTACCAGTGGGGAGCACGGCCGGCAGCCGCGGCACGGGCATCGTTGTAGTACAGGAAGGTGAAGGCGAGGAACTGGCTGATCAGAGCGTACTCAACGGGGAACAGCAGAGTAGGCCAGGCCACAGCGGGGGCAATGACACCGGCAGCGTAGCGGCGGTAGCCGAACTTGCCGCCGTAGCCAGCCCACTCGAGACCCCAGTGGATGGCACCGAGGAAGGAGAGGATCTAACCGCAATGGGTAATTAGCAAATATGCAAACTTAGAGGGGCTTAGACTCGGAATTGGACTTACCACGGCACCGTAGCCAACCTGGATGGGCTCCAGCATGTGCAGCATCAGCTCAGCAGACTGGCCGGAGAAGATCAAGCCATCACCGAGAGAGGCGGCGCGGTTGATCTCGTAGGAGAGGTAGACGGTCTGCAGAGAGGTGGCCAAGTAGGGGACCACGCCGGCCATACCAAGGTAGAGAGCCTCCTTGGGGACGTGGCTCAGGCTGAAGGTCTCGCCGATAACTTTCTATACTCGCACAATCAGCATCCGTCCTAGGTTCAATGGTCGTCGCTTGATATAATTTGGAAAGTACGTACCGCCTCGGAACGCATACCCGCCATCACATCGATATCATCCTCATCCTTGCCCTATTTATGTCATCAGCCATTGAATCCCCTTGCGAATCACAATTCATATCCAAGTTCTTACGTGGGCGGAGGACGAAGAGAAGCGCACGAGAGCGGTGGTAACGGGCTTGTGGGCAGCAAGCGCGAAGCTCGGCGCGGAAGGACGGATCGCATTGCGGGCAGACGAGGTCATCTGAGCCTTGAAGATCTGGTTGCTCAGAGAAGAGCGAGCCACGGAGGCATTGGAGCTCGAGAGGGCGCGGAGCGCAGAGCGGGCAGCGAAGTTGCGGTACAGCATGGCGGGGATACAGCTTTTCGTGGTGGTCGGGTTAGCAAGATCGGAGAAGAAAAGCCTCGGGTCCGGCCGGATTGCAGGATCAACCCACCCAATTGGACTTTAAAAAAGCTGGCAAGGGGGTTTGAGAGTGGAGATGAGGGTATACACCCGGAAAATGACTTGGTCTCAAAGTCGAGGGCGTGGGTTTTCCGGGAGGGAGCAAATAAGAATATCCAGAAATGAAGTGACCGAGTGATGAGGTGTGGTCTGCTTTCGGGCGGACCGTAGCGACCCGAACTGCAAAGATGATAGCCTGAGGCAGACACCCGGGGCTCCGTGCTTATGCACGTGACCCGACAGCACGGGGGGCTGCGCCCTGGCTGACTCAGCAAAAGTTGGCAGGGAATCTACATACGTCACCTTTGGGGTAAACAAGTGTATCCATCAGTACAGTACGAGTAGGGGTTTGCTGTTGCTACATCTATGAATTGTATGTTTCAGGAAGTAGGCTGCAGGGAAATTAGTATTGGCCCCCGATTAGTACTAAGAGCTGGAAGGCCTGAGTATCGTGTACCATCAAGCAACTTTGGCAGGGCGGAAATCATAGCCGTGGTTGGCGTAACTAGCTGTACCCCGTCTGTATCGAGTACCTCCTCCATACCTTTGGGTAACGGATAGCACCTTTCCTCTCAACGGGCCATTGGCGTTGGATACCCAACCTCATTCTCTTAATTTAGCGCTGGTCCTTTTATCACATTCGATTAATTTACCTGACCACGATTCATTCAATACCGATCACTGCTCTCTTCTTGGAGGGGTTTGTTCCTCGGTATCGCGTGCCCCAGCCCGCTCTGGATGGCTTGATTGTCCCCCGTGTCCCAGGGTTCTCAACAGTGACGACGTAAGAACCTCACCGATGAGACCAACTCCCTGCCAACTTGAATCCGTTACTAACTCTCCAGCTACCCTGGATCTCAGACTGTCATCGAATCCCCGACTCACGCCATTGAACCGACATCCGCGCCGGCCATAGTGCCAATCCACCAGGCCCGGTCTACGGCCGCACGCCACAACCATGTTGGAAGGAGTAGTCGCTAACCTGCTCAACCGGTTCCTGGGGATATACGTTAAGAACTTTGACGCAAAGCAGCTCAACATTGGAATTTGGTCGGGCGACGTCAAACTACGGAATCTCGAGCTGCGCCGCGAAGCCCTTGACCAGCTACGCCTCCCTCTAAACGTCGTCGAAGGTCATCTCGGCGAGCTCACATTATCGATCCCTTGGTCTAACCTACGAGGAAAGCCGGTGAAGGTCGATATCGAAGATGTCTATTTGCTTGCAGCGCCAAGAGAGGATGCGGACTACGATCCGGAGGAGGAAGAAAGGAGAGCGAATGTTCTCAAGATGGAACGGATCGAGAGTGCTGAACTTCTGCGTGAGCGCAATGCAGAAGGCATGAGCCAGGAGGAGCAGCGCCGGAACCAGAGCTTCACGCAGAGCATGATCACGGCTGTTGTGGATAATCTGCAGATTTCCATCAAGAATGTGCATTTCCGTTACGAAGACTCTATCGCTTCACCTGGACACCCGTTCGCTGTCGGCTTGACCTTGAAGGAGCTCAGTGCTGTCAGCACAGACGGAGATTGGAACCCGACTTTTATCCAATCAGACTCCAGTGTCACACATAAGCTGGCTGTCCTTGGAGCGCTGTCCGTGTATTGGAATACAGATGCCACACTCCTCGGAACCGGACGAGGCTCTGATATCGGTGCAGAAGCCCAAGGCATCAGCCGCGAAGAATTAATGGAGAAACTCAGAACTGCGATTGACGCGGACGAAGGAAATCAGTTCATGCTTCGTCCCGTAAGTGGGCGTGCTGGACTTGAAATGGACAAATCGGGCAAATATGACCGTCCTGCCATCAAAGCGCGATTGCTCTTCGACGAGCTGGGTTTCGTCCTAGATGACAATCAATATCGTGATGCGCTGATGCTGGTCGACCTCTTCCATTACTTCATTCGCCATCAAGAGTACAAGAAGATC